TATTAGATGATATATAGATGATATTAGATGATATATAGATGGTATTAGATGATATATAGATGGTATTAGATGATATATAGATGATATTAGATGATATATAGATGATATTAGATGATATATAGATGGTATTAGATGATATATAGGTGGTATTAGATGATATATAGATGGTATTAGATGATAGATAGATGATATTAGATGATATATAGCTGGTATTAGATGAGAAACCATTAAACATCCTATACATTAAGGAATCATGATCAGCTGTAGTGAAAATTTGTGGGAGTTGATACTTTAATGAATCAATACCTTGTCATCAGCATCTTCATCCACTCCAAAGTTTCTTAAATTATGATCTGCAATTTTAAGTGCCCCCTGGAGGGTAGCAATGTCTTTATGGTCCTCGGGTGTTACTTTGATTAAATCCTGTAAAAACGTAAAAACATATATTCGCACTCAGGTAGCCATGACAGCACAAAAACAAGGCTTTCTTCTCAACTGAAATGTGAGCATCTGACAATACTGGTACATAGGTAATACATGTATTAGGAAAAATATGACAGAAATGTTATTTAGAATTAAAGAATATTCCATTTACTGAATATAACTTCAGTAATCAATTTTCCCATCCGTTAAACAAGAAATGGACAAAATATATGATGCCTAAACAGTACACCGAAACTCAGAAAGGTCCATTATAGCAACTGAAAGTGATATTCTGTAAAACATGTACTACATATTTCACTAGGAGAATGGAATCAATACCGTTTGAAGTGATCTTCAGTATTTCCCAGATTTTTCCCAGCTGAATACGCACAGAGCTAGAGAACATGCTATTAATGTAATATCTGATTTTTAGCCTTATTTTTCCAAAATATGATTGATATAAAAAAAAATTATTAAGAAATAATATAATGATCAAAGATTTTGTACATTTCTACATGCATGTATATATTATGAAACTGACAGCATTATAACATGTATGAACAAAAATAAAACACTCACATGCAGAACTAGCGTATTTCTTTGTAATCTTTGGACCGGCTTAAACAGAATCTCTGTAAAAAGAAGACATTCATACTAATTGTCAAACTATATCTTGAAATAAAACTACATCATGCTGAATATTTCACAAGTCTGTCTCAAAATGAGTAAACATGAAAATTTATTTACCCTGGGTCATTTTTCATTTTTCATTTTGAAGTTATTCAGCAGTTTCTCAGAGAGATATTACATCTTGTGATCTGGAGTATGTTGATTTTACCACAGCAATTTTGTTCAATATATTATTCAAACATTTTTTTTATGAAACTCTGTGCTTAAAATTATCTTACCGTAATATGTTACAAACTTCAAAAAAAAAAGTTTTGTAATGAATTTACCTTCTAATGAAGCCACCACTTTCTCGTCACTTTGAGGCCCCTTAACTTTCTGTAATAAAAAATACAATATAAAGTTCAATATAACATTAACTGCTAACTGCTATTGTGAATGTTAGAATTTCTGAAAATTTGAAAAACATTTACTAAATCAGCACAAAAAATGCAAATGTGCCAAATAAGGAAGCCCAATTAAATACAAATTTATTGTATTTATGCAAATTACTAATTAAATCAGCATCCATAATAAAGCATTAACCATTTACCTGCAAATATCCCAACTACATACATGAGGAGTACATTGATCATAAAATGGCTGGAATAACAGAAATTGACAGTACAGTCTGTACAATGTAAATACACAGGTGTCTGTATCAAATGTGTATAAAATGGCCTCATAATTACCCAAGTTTGACTTTTTTTCTGGTCGAATGAGCCATTTATAATAAAAAATAAAATGTCAAATTAAAGGACTTTTACATTCTATTCAGTTTCTATTTAAAAGTTAAAATGAAGTTTCATCTTTGATTTAAATTATCTCTTTACTACAAACAATTTACTGAAATGAAAAAGATACAAAGTATCAAGAAATTGTTTACCATCTTTTCACTGTACAAAACAATAAAACAAGCATCAGCCTACTGAAGCACAAATGTATCACAATTTGCCTGGTACATAAAGCCTTTTAGAACTTACCAAATTAAGAGCCATTTTCTTAAAATCTGGATTTTCATTGCTACACTTGGCAACACATTCTAGAGCTTTGTTAGTGTTCTCAACAAATTCTTTATACGTAGGAAAAAACACAATCTGAAAAACAGAAAAATACTTGCATTACGATACTGACTGCCTTGTGACAACTTACATACTGTTAAATAGCTAATCTAGCAATAATATATCAAAGACAACAAACTTAAAATCAGTTATCACTTTCTTTGAACAAATATTTTGCGTATATATATGGTTTTATGAACAATGTAACAGATTTGTATTAACTATACATTGACCTTACCGGTACTCCTGTTAGTGACAGGGATCTTACGTCCTACTTGCCAATTAAAGCTCCCTTTATTGGAGGGAGACTACTGCATGGTCTTTCATCCTTATTTTTGATGTCTGAAATTCCTATTTATAAGATATCAGTGACACTGGCCCCAAAAATTTCCAAAAATTTCCAAAATGTGCTAAACATGTCAACTACATTTAAGAATTTATCATATGAATACCGTGTTATGCAATGTCATAAAGCCATCACATATATCATGTTTATGTAACGTGTGTAATATAACTCCGGAAATGATGTCACAATCGAATAGGAACAATCAATGTGACGTCACGTCATTGTGAAGCAGACGCAATTTTCATCGTTTCAGAGGCGGCTAAATGCAAAATAATCGTTTCAGATCACAAATATACAGTTAAATTTGTATTATATGATAAAAATTATCTGTCATTTATTTCCCTTCACATTAGATTTATGATACTCGTCTTGGATTTTTCGTATTTGCTCGCCAAAGGCTCGCAAACGTGAAAAATCCAAAACTTGTATCATAAATCTTATATAAAGGGAAACTTATGACAGATCTTCTATTTCCTAAATCTTGCCTTTTGCTCAGATTCAATGATTCACCACAAACAGCAGCCTTGAGGTATTGAACACTAGCATGTCATGATTTACCACAAACAGCAGCCTTGAGGTATTGAACACTAGCATGTCATGATTTACCACAAACAGCAGCCTTGAGGTATTGAACACTAGCATGTCATGATTTACCACAAACAGCAGCCTTGAGGTATTGAACACTAGCATGTCATGATTTACCACAAACAGCAGCCTTGAGGTATTGAACACTAGCATGTCATGATTTACCACAAACAGCAGCCTTGAGGTATTGAACACTAGCATGTCATGATTTACCACAAACAGCAGCCTTGAGGTATTGAACACTAGCATGTCATGATTTACCACAAACAGCAGCCTTGAGGTATTGAACACTAGCATGTCATGATTTACCACAAACAGCAGCCTTGAGGTATTGAACACTAGCATGTCATGATTTACCACAAACAGCAGCCTTGAGGTATTGAACACTAGCATGTCATGATTTACCACAAACAGCAGCCTTGAGGTATTGAACACTAGCATGTCATGATTTACCACAAACAGCAGCCTTGAGGTATTGAACACTAGCATGTCATGATTTACCACAAACAGCAGCCTTGAGGTATTGAACACTAGCATGTCATGATTTACCACAAACAGCAGCCTTGAGGTATTGAACACTAGCATGTCATGATTTACCACAAACAGCAGCCTTGAGGTATTGAACACTAGCATGTCATGATTTACCACAAACAGCAGCCTTGAGGTATTGAACACTAGCATGTCATGATTTACCACAAACAGCAGCCTTGAGGTATTGAACACTAGCATGTCATGATTTACCACAAACAGCAGCCTTGAGGTATTGAACACTAGCATGTCATGATTTACCACAAACAGCAGCCTTGAGGTATTGAACACTAGCATGTCATGATTTACCACAAACAGCAGCCTTGAGGTATTGAACACTAGCATGTCATGATTTACCACAAACAGCAGCCTTGAGGTATTGAACACTAGCATGTCATGATTTACCACAAACAGCAGCCTTGAGGTATTGAACACTAGCATGTCATGATTTACCACAAACAGCAGCCTTGAGGTATTGAACACTAGCATGTCATGATTTACCACAAACAGCAGCCTTGAGGTATTGAACACTAGCATGTCATGATTTACCACAAACAGCAGCCTTGAGGTATTGAACACTAGCATGTCATGATTTACCACAAACAGCAGCCTTGAGGTATTGAACACTAGCATGTCATGATTTACCACAAACAGCAGCCTTGAGGTACTGAACACTAGCATGTCATGATTTACCACTAACAGCAGCCTTGAGGTACTGAACACTAGCATGTCAAAGAAAAATTGTAAGGAAATCCTGGTACGTTTAGATTTTCTTTAGGACTTACCAGTTCCTTAAATATTTGGCCAATCTCCTGATCATCTGACCACTGGTCAACCTTCTCTTTCAGACTGGACACAAACGTCTTGTGGTGAACATGGATGTCCTCTACCTTGTAGAATATGGTGGTCAGGTCCTCAAAGGAACACAGGGGGTTTGTCTCGCAGCCCATCTGTAGCTTACGCTTGAACTGTGGACACAATATCACTCTAACTTGAAGCAAATTGCAATGAAGAACAAAATACAATTAGTAGAATCCATCACATCTGTGTGATATAAACAGAAATCTCAACCTAAGGGCAAGATATGGAGATTCAGTGTGAGGCTTTGCCGGGTGCTGAGCCTCAAAAATCTCATCCTCAGAGTTGAGAGGTCACTTTCATACAGGTGTTTTTTGTTTCCAACACTTTTCTACGTTAAAAATTGTAATGGTGAATACACCATGCCATCACCAATGTGTGACAAAGATATGGTTACGCTGCATCGAGTTAGGATGGTCTCTTATTGCTAAGTGGTTTTCAGAATAAGTGTGTGTGTGAGATGTCAGAATGTGTGTGTGTGTGAGATGTCAGAATAAGTGTGTGTGTGAGATGTCAGCATAAGTGTGTGTGTGAGATGTCAGACTAAGTGTGTGTGTGAGATGTCAGCATAAGTGTGTGTGTGAGATGTCAGCATAAGTGTGTGTGTGAGATGTCAGACTAAGTGTGTGTGTGAGATGTCAGCATAAGTGTGTGTGTGAGATGTCAGCATAAGTGTGTGTGTGAGATGTCAAAATAAGTGTGTGTGTGAGATGTCCGAATAAGTGTGTGTGTGAGATGTCAGAATAAGTGTGTGTGTGAGAGTTCAGAATAAGTGTGTGTGTGAGATGTCAGAATAAGTGTGTGTGTGTGAGATGTCAGAATAAGTGTGTGTGTGAGATGGTGTTACGTTACAGGTAGAACAGTCAACGGTGTAGCTACTCAGGGCCGTGAATGTTTTACCTCTGAAGTCTGTGAAACCTTTTATCCATCTTTTGATTTTTTACCTCCTGATCACTTACATTGACAAGTTCATCCAGACATGACAGGTAGTTCTCCTCACTGGACAGTATTCCATTTACAAGTATTTTCCTCATCCTCAGCTTCCGCGACTTTTCTGTTTCCACCTCATCTTCATGATCGACCACATCCAACTGAAACAAACGAGAAGTACAATGACATTTTCCTTCATGTTAGAGGTCTCTGTTAAAACAACTTGTGTTAGAATTTAACAACTTGTGTTAGAATTTAACAACTTGTGTTACATGAAGAATGATAGTGTTTATATATATCCTACATACATTAAACTTGAGCTAGAACAAGATATACAATTTCGTCACATCGTTGTACAGGTAACTAATACAAACCGTTCACTCAGTCTTAGCTTGACACAGGGACCAGTCGGTCTTCAAAGGTTGTGACACGTTTAATACATACATTGTTTGTGTAAAAAGTAAAACTCTGATATCACATATTTCCAAACTGATGAATCTTATTGAAGATATTAGAACAAGATGAATGATCATGATCTGTCCTGGTGACATGTCTTGTACGTAATGTACAGAAGTCGGACTTTCCTGACATATTCATGAAAGCACATTCTCATCTTCTCTTCGAATTTCCACAAAATCATTGAAAAATTCAAATATTACCCCAAGAAGGAATTTGACTTGATCATGAGCAAAGAATCTGAGTTTGAGCATGAAAACAGTAACATGAATACAATTCAAGACATTACCAACACTCAACTTCATTGACACCTAATTTTACTGACACCTAACTTTACAGACACCTGGCTTTTCTGACACCTGGCTTTACTGACACCTTACTTTACAGACATTTAACTTTACAATACACAGAAGCATGTGTTAATTAACCCTTTCACCACTGTAGACCATAATGGACTCGTCCAGATCAATGCAATGGCAGAGTCTACTAAAGTTACATAGGGTTGAAAGGGTTAACAAGACAACAATCACACAGATAATGGTTGATCATCAGGGACCATTTTATAGTGCTATCACAAGGACTAAAAGGTTTTAACTCTATTGTACACACAGGGTCATCTAACACATCACATGGCAGGATATTCTCACATAGGGCTATGATCAGAAGCCTGCAAGGGGCACACCAGTAAACCCAGGACGCTCCAAATTAGAGGTAAGTTGACTCACACCATTGATCGTTTGAGTCAACACTATACAGTTCTGTGGTCTCCAAACCTGCACACCAGACACTGACCTAGAAACATTATAATTAACAACGGAGTATCTGCTATCATGACTATCCAAGGCCATGTTTCAAATGACCTTATTTGAAAGCATGTACCATACAATATACATGTACACATTATTTTTATTATTTGATTGTTTTTTTCAAGTTTTACAGATAAATGGACTATGCAATTATGAGTTCCAACTAAAAAACATATAATCAAAGTATTATGTTATAGAAATATGCATACGTTATTTTCTTTTAAAGACAAAAAATGTTTACTAAGCTTCCATTTAAAATATTTGTGAAATAACAAATGACCAGACCTGACACCACCTTAAGCTTCTGTTATAAGTAAAACACAATACTATACAGTATATTCCAACATCATACGTAATTACCCTTAATTAGTCAATTAGCTGTAAAGCTATAGATTCTCTATTCAGATACAAATGATAGATCAATGTGTAGTGTGTGTACACATACAAGTACACAGATGTGATACACACACTGACCTGTTCTATAGGACCAGTAATAAGTACCCATGAGCTCTGTATAACACACATCTACAAGTTTCAACTTAAGACTGCTCTGCAGTGCTAAGAAGAACACTACAGGAATTTCACAATTTTTAATGAAATGAAAACATAGCAAACTTCTGTTTTTATTTTTGACAATATGACATCACAATGTTATGATGTCATGTTTATTGTTTTAATCCTCACGTCACAATGACTATTAGTACACGAGGTAATGTGAAATATGTGTATTTACTGCATTACATGATATTTATGTTAAATTCATTTAGACGAATACATTGGACAGAAATCCCCCCGGCGAACGCTCCGCTGAGGCAGCCTCGGTTTAACGTCAAGTATCTCCTCTTCAGGGAGGTTTTTTTTGTCTTATCCTCAAGATATGGAAAGATCCTATGAGTATGTACATTCTGTATAAAATATTTACAAATTACATGAATGTACTCAATGACCTCTAGTTTGTGAATTAAATTTCTTAAATCCTGAGAAAGAAGTGTACACATAAACAGACCACTTAAGTTTAATCTGTTCATTATCTTGTCGGCTGAAACATGACATCATCTCAAAGTCATACATCTAAGTCAATGAGTCTTCATTTTGGTCAGTGTAAATGTTAGACAGCAGCTTAACTCATTCACCCCTGAAGACACATTTGAGCTCTTCCAATTTAAAGGTTGGAATAGTTCATTGTGAAAGTTCAGGGGTGAATGAGTTAAGTAACTTGACCTCAGCAGTAAGTCATGATGCATCCATCTAAGTTTCAAAGTTATTATCTGTACATAAAGGAAATATTTAATTTTGACCTCATTTTAAAAATTTAACGTTTTCGTAGAGACCAAAAAAATGGTATTCAGCATATTATATAGCCAGGATGCCTCAAAGAATTTTACTGCAGTGTGAACTTTGACCTACCTCATCATGACTGTCACAACTGATGGTGTCAAGGTCATCCTCCGACTTAGTCCTCTTTATTCTGTGCCTGCCATCTGTCACGTCCTCGTCTGACTGGGTATCTATTGCTACAACATCAAACAAATGCAACCAACATGGGTATTAACTACCACAGATCTCACGGTAATAAATATATTGGCATTAACTATCACAGATCTCACGCTAATCAATATATTGGTATTAACTACCACAGATCTCACGCTAATAAATATATTGGCATTAACTATCACAGATCTCACGGTAATAAATATATTGGCATTAACTATCACAGATCTCACGGTAATAAATATATTGGCATTAACTACCACAGATCTCACGGTAATAAATATATTGGCATTTACTATCACAGATCTCACGCTAATAAATATATTGGCATTAACTATCACAGATCTCACGGTGATAAATATATTGGCATTAACTACCACCGATCTCACGGTAATAATTATATTGGCATTTACTATCACAGATCTCACGCTATTAAATATATTGGCATTAACTATCACAGAACTCACGGTAATAAATATATTGGCCTTAACTACCACAGATCTCATGGTAATAAATACATTGGCATTAACTACCACAGATCTCCCGGTAATAAATATATTGGTATTAACTATCACAGATCTCACGGTAATAAATATATTGGTATTAACTACCACTGATCTCACGGTAATAAATATATTGCATTAACTACCACAAATCTCATGGTAATAAATATATTGGTATTAACTACCACAGATCTCACGGTAATAAATATATTGGCATTAACTACCACAGATCTCACCCTAATAAATATATTGGTATTAACTACCACAGATCTCACGGTAATAAATATATTGGCATTAACTACCACAGATCTCACGGTAATAAATATATTGGCATTAACTATCACAGATCTCACGGTAATAAATATATTGGCATTAACTATCACAGATCTCACGGTAATAAATATATTGGTATTAACTATCACAGATCTCACGGTAACAAATATATTGGTATTAACTATCACAGATCTCACGGTAACAAATATATTGGCATTAACTATCACAGATCTCACGGTAATAAATATATTGGTATTAACTACCACAGATCTCATGGTAATAAATATATTGGTATTAACTACCACAGATCTCATGGTAATGAATATATTGGTATTAACTACCACAAATCTCACGGTAATAAATATATTGGTATTAACTACCACAGATCTCATGGTAATAAATATATTGGTATTAACTACCACAGATCTCATGGTAATAAATATATTGGCATTAACTACCACAAATATCACGGTAATAAATATATTGGCATTAACTACCACAAATATCACGGTAATAAATATATTAGTATTAACTACCACAGATCTCACGGTAATAAATAAGTATATATTGGCATATCTACCACAGATCTCACCGTAATTAGTTATTATATGCATTTTGGTAACTAGAGTTTTGTGGAAAACAAGAAAGGTAAACTAGTTAAAATTAAATATCTTTTATTTTGAGAGCTGTTTTCATCTTATTTCTACATCGGGACATTTTCTTGGATTTGCCTTCTCTTACATTTGAAATATTAATATGGTATGTGAAGAGTAAACCAGCATTCATCTAGTAATTCAGCTCAATACTGGTTTTTTATAATGAGGTTCATGTATGCAACAAGAAATACAGTGAGAAAATAATTATAATGGCTGAAGCCTGCAGTTGACAATCTCGTATTTTGGATGATTAAGTCCAAGATCTAAACCTGTAATTTAGTGATGTCCAAATTTATCAACTTTGTCAACTTTTAACCAGTAAGGTCATTAAACAGGTTATATTAATCGACTAGAGAGCTCATGAGCGATGTAAGTCTGAACATTTTTATGTGTAGATATTATGAAATTTTCAGTGTCAAGAGTATTTCAGGATTTCAAATCTATGTCCTTGCTATATACTAACAAGTTCAGAGGCCTGCACCATTGTTTCCAGCTGTTATGTTGACTTATTACTTTAATTTCAAACATGTGCATGGCCACTTTTAACTCACTCACCCCTTAAATTTCATAATGAACTATTCTAACCTTTGAATTGGAAGGGTTCAAAAAATGTGTCCTCAGAGGTGAATGAGTTAAGGGAGGTAATTCTTACATGGTACAGCGAAGCATAACAACAGCACGGAGGATTTCACAATGTATTTCTTGAAAATGATTATTAATTGATCATCAGTTAGTTAACTGTAACCAATGGTTTATAATAAAGTTTGCAGCCGATTCCCTACACTAATGTTATTTAATCATGTACATACAAGTATGTTGGATAGAAAAGGTCATAGGTTACCCTATACGGGTACAGACAGACTTCTTGTTTTGTTTATTTGACCTTAACATCCCCTTCACTTTAACCCAGACTTCTGCCACTGTTTCTATTATAAACAAGGTTGGTAATCTAATACAGACCTAGCTACTACACAGGACAGAGATAAACGACTGAAGGAACAAGACAAAACCTGAGATGTTGTTTATTGATTATGGAGGCTTCACACTGTCAATACCTGTGCTGACCTAGATTATCAGGACAGTGTTTTTGTTACCTAAATCTTACAACAGCCTGTTCCTTTATGAATTGGGAAAATAAAGCATTATCTCCATTGAATTTGGGAATATATTCCTCAGTTTTTGGTAATTTTGGGAAAATAATATAAGGCGCTTTTTAGCTAGGGGATATGTATACTGTATTCAGCAGTAAAATGGAGCAAAATGCATCACTGCAGGAATAATATTTTTTTCATCAAGCCTTAAACCACCAGATAAACAGATGATACTGATGATGTTAAAAACGTATAAGTATTTTAGTTGGAAACAACAAAAAGCTTAAAGGTCAATTATTTTAAATGATTTGTATAATGTATATGCACACAGTAGAAAGATTACGATTTCCAAACATACGATTCTTTTCAATTTCTGTTAAATTAAGGTATACGTTTGTACATGTGATGCTGTACGCATGATTATGCATAATTAATGCATATTTATCATAGAGTTAGAATCCGTGGTTATCCTGAAGTTTCTAGTCTACCTAGCTTGTAACAAGGGGATCTGTCAACAGATTGGTTTACCGTGGTAAATACAGTTTTCCTATATGGTAATATATATATGTAACAAACATAAAAATAAACAAAATAAAACTGACATGTCCTTAATTTTTTAGAATATTAACAACACAAATGTATTCAAATTTTTGTGTATACTGTACATATATTTTAAAAGTGTTAAACGACTGAAATAATTTGATTTGCCTTTGTAAAGGGGTTGTTGGTCACATAACTTTGGGTTAGTCATATTTAATAAGCTAGCACTTAAATTTACATACACTCACTAACTCAGTGTCTTGAACTCTTCCGTGTTGTATAACATGTTCTTACAATATATAAACTTGAAGTTAGAAAAATACTCTAAAGGCTAACTAATACTGTGACACACATCTCCACCCTCGCCCTCCACAGCACAAACTTCTCCACCCTCACCCTTCCCTGGACAAACTTTTCAACACTCGCCCTCCGCAGAACAAACTTCTCCACCCTCACCCTCCCCAGGACAAACTTCTCCACCCTCGCCCTCCCCAGAACAAACTTATCCACCCTCACCCTCCCCAGAACAAACTTCTCAACCCTGGCCCTCCCCAGGACAAACTTCTCAACCCTTGCACTCCCCAGGACAAACTTCTCCACCCTCGCCCTCCCCAGAACAAACTTATCCACCCTCACCCTCCCCAGGACAAACTTATCCACCCTCGTACTCCCCAGGAAAAACTTCTCCACCCTCGCCCTCCCCAGAACAAACTTCTCCATCCTCGCCCTCCCCAGAACAAACTTTTCCGACCTCGCCCTCCCCAGGACAAACTTCTCCACCCTTGCCCTCCCCAGGACAAACTTCTCCACCCTCGCCCTCCCCAGAACAAACTTCTCCACCCTCTCCCTCCCCAGGACAAACTTCTCAACCCTTGCACTCCCCAGGACAAACTTCTCAACCCTTGCACTCCCCAGGACAAACTTCTCCATCCTCGCCCTCCACAGCACAAACTTCTCCTCCCTCCCCCACCCCAGAACAAACTTCTTCAATCTCGCCCTCCCCAGAACAAACTTCTTCAATCTCGCCCTCCCCAGAACAACCTTCTCCATCCTCGCCCTCGCCAGAACAAACTTTTCCAACCTCGCCCTCCCCAGAACAACCTTCTCCATCCTCGCCCTCCACAGCACAAACTTCTCCTCCCTCCCCCACCCCAGAACAAACTTCTTCAATCTCGCCCTCCCCAGAACAACCTTCTTCAACCTCGCCCTCCCCAGAACAAATTTCTCCACACTCGCACTCCCCAGAACAAACTTATCCACCCTCCCCCTCCCCAGAACAAACTTCTTCACCCTCGCTCTCCCCAGAACAAACTTCTCCATCCACGCCCTCCCCAGAACAAGCTTTTCCGACCTCGCCCCCCCCAGGACAAACTTCTCCCCCCTCGCCCCCCCCAGAACAAACTTCTCCATCCACGCCCTCCCCAGAACAAGCTTTTCCGACCTCGCCCTCCCCAGGACAAACTTATCCACCCTCGTCCTCCCCAGGAAAAACTTCTCCACCCTCGACCTCAAGCTCCCCAGAGCAAACTTCTCCACCCTCGACCTCAAGCTCCCCAGAGCAAACTCCTCCGTCCTGACTGACCAGGTTCCCGTGTGTAGAATTCAAACTGTCTAGACTTTTATACTAGCTAGTTTCCACTGTATACAGAAACGAGTGTCCTGACTGACCAGTTTCCTGTGTGTAGAAATAAAAGTGTCTAGACTTTTATAGAAGGATCCACTATATATAGAAACCAATGTCCTGACTGACCAGGATCCCGTGTGTAGAAATCAAATTGTCTAGACTTTTATACTAGCTAGGATCCACTGTATACAGAAACGAGTGTCCTGACTGACCAGGTTCCTGTGTGTAGAAATCAAATTGTCTAGACTTTTATACAAGGTTCCACTATATATAGAAACCAATGTCCTGACTAACCAGGTTCCTGTGTGTAGAAATCAAAGTGTCTAGACCTTTATA